TCAAATGCTTTATAATATAGTATAGATAATCAATCACATATGATACATATGTGATACCAAATAAAAGACACAGATAACCTTTGGTGCGACCTAGGTTGTGGCCAAGTTACCCGCCAGCCACTAGCCCTCGCCATGTATTATTACATGTGAGAAGGGTATTTTTTTTGTATGATATTATAATTCATCACATGTGATACTAAATCAGATATCTAGATGATCTTGGCGCGACCTTGATCGTGGGCCAAGTCGTTCGCATACCACCAGGTCCCCTCATATGTACTATTGTATATGATAATGGTGTTTTCATGTTTTTTTTGTTGTTGTAAAAATAGAGGTGTTCTCGTGTGTGTGTGTGTGTATGTGTGTACATATATACAGAGAGACGACTTAATCAAACGAGGACCGTGAATATTGTGATACCGGTGAGAACTTTTACCGTAAGGTATTGTTTTAAATTATTTTTCCCATCTAAAGCAAACATTTAATGTATTAATCAACATATATTGATTCACAATGTGTTTTTTTCATATGTATTCGGTTTACAATGTTATTCTACTTTACGTGTATTTTTTGTTTCACAAAAAGTCAAACAATCATGCTGTGAATCAAATACATTGTGAAACAAATATACGTCAATCAGTATTTTAAATCATAGTCTTAGATGAAAAAATCATACGAAATTGCACTAGATGCACTAGTTCTCAATGTTTTCACAATTTTATGAGTTCTCATAAGAAGGGTCTCATGTGGACTTTACTTTATTACGTGTGTTACATAACAAATAATAAAATATTAAAAACTAAAATACTGAAAATTAAACGATGAAAATGTAACAAAAGATACTGGATTCACCCGTATCTAATCAGTATGGTTTTTTTTTACTATGACATCGACATCTTTAATCCTATTAGTCTACATGGTGCAATCATATCAGATCAAGCTTGACATCGGGCGAAAGGTTCATTTCACGATAGTCGTGGCCCAACACGTTAACTGAGAACATCATAGTAAATCAGATCCAACACCTAAAATTTTATAAGGTTTTAGATTACTTAAAACAACCGTTCTAACAAACACATGAGATTAAAAATCACAATTCTACCTGTTCTCGATGTTTTTCGATTATTGGGTAAGAAAAAAAAAATCTCTAACATTACGCAGTTAAATCCACTAGCAAATAAGACTTGAGTCTTTGGGATTTTTTTCATAGGTTATTGGTTCGAGTCTTGTAAGGCCACTTTCTAGCTTTTCTCAAGGGTCCATGAGATCAGTCGAGATGCATACAAACTAACTCAGACAAATAGATAATCACGGTTAATAAAAAACAAATTCCAGATTATTCGATTTTAATTGTAATAAAAATCATTATAAATTTTAAATTTTATTTTTCCCTTTAAAATTATTTAATTTTATATTAATTTATTATTTTTAGTTTTTATATTTTGTATATACATTATACAAATTGGGACGATAAGGTCTCCTAAAAACTTTACATGTTATTATTGAGGGTAAATTGCATTAAAAGATAATGTACTTTAACTTGATTTTTATTTTTTTATTTTGATACTTAATATGTAAAGCTTTAAACATTTAAGTACTCAGGTTACCATGTGATGTGACGAGTGATGTGATATCTAACTCAATATTATTTGCTGACATGGATCTTAATCTAAAATTAGTTTTTATGTATTGCGGTTTATTAGAAGAAAGAGTTAATGATTCAACTGGTTACCCGGATACTTAAATGTTTAAAATTTTACATCTTATATATCAAAAAGAAAGTTCTGAAAGTACATTATCCAAAACAGTAATCAAGTTAAGATACGTTACTTTTTCATACAATATGAATTATTTATTGTTATTTTTTAAATAATTATCTAATTAATTAATATGAATATTAATTTATCCTCATTTAATAAGAAGGAATTATTGTCACATGAACAGATAGAATAGTTAGGCAGGTTATGGTACTGCCCATTCAAGGCTTACTTTATCGATATATATCAACAAATAATTAAAAAAAGAGTAAATACAAATTTACCCTTATGGTTTGTCAAATAACAATATTTTTTATTCATGAAAATTTAAAATTACAAGATAGCCATCGTGGTTTGTAAAAATGTTTGAATTTGATTCATCCCGTCAAGGGAAGTTAAAAAAAAATGTTAAATAAGGGGCATTTTTGTCGTTTTTATCAATTTGTTTGTCTTTTATCCAATCAAAAACCACAGGGACCAAAATCATAAAATCGATTTTGATTTGGCAAACACAAAATAATAAAGGAATGGAAATGTCTCTCGTTTTACGAAATTTTTAAGGGTCGTTAAAAATGAAAGAATCAAATCCGGACGTTCTTGCAAACCACGATAACTAAAAATAATTATAAAACATAATTTGGTTTGTTGAATAAACTTTCATGGTTTACTGCCTAATTTAATTGAGATTTTAATTTACATATAACCGTTATAATCTGCTATTTATAAGTAACATATATGATAAATCAAGTAGATATCAGATCGAAAATATAAACACCTGTAAGTTTCGTAAATAAATTGTGACGAATAAAATAAAAATGATTTGTTGAAATTGAATTACACGAATTCAAACATGAAGCTTTAATAAGTTGTACTTATACATAATTACTTATAATCTCGAATTTTGAATAATATGCATCAATATATAGTATTTATGCATAAAAAATGATTTTAAAAATTTCTGAATGCTTTATAACATAGTATAGATATTTCATATTTGCAGTTTCGTTGGCTTTAGCAGTACCTTCGAGGCCCAGTTTCTTCAAGTAGTGTCTATTAATGGGCCTGATAAGCCCAAAAGAATTATATTTGTATAAAAAATAAAAAATAAAATAAAAAAAAACTCGAGTCTAAAATCTGAAAAAATTCCAAAATAATTCATAATATTTTTTAAAAATAAAAATAAAAATATATGTATTTTTTAAGACTAAAATGTATTTTTTTATTGTAAAATTTGAAAAAATATTCGAAATTCAACCGAAACATTGAATCGATTTTCAATAACTTGACCGAACCAAATAATTTAACAACGTTGGTTTAATAAAATTTGACTTTTCAGTGTGGTCAAAATTTTGCGACTTAAACTGATCAGTTTAATTATACCAATTACTAGACAAGATTATGGTTTAAGGATGGTGATTTACCCCGACCCGCTGGGGACCTGACTCATCCGACCCGAACGGAGGGATTTCCTGTTAAAACGGGTCCTGGGGTCGGGGATCCATGGTAGACTCAAATCGGGGACGTGGCCGGGGATTCCCGGTAGATTCAAACTAACGAATATTCTTCAAGGGGTTTGACCGAGAACGGGATGTTAAATCTTCGTACCTGTCGGGAGCCGAATATTATAGAACTCGTCCCATCCTTGCCCTGTTGCATGTATATGAATAAAAGCAAGTCAAAAAATAGAAGGGCTATTTTTGTAAAGAACGTAACTTGTGCAAAAATGTGAGAAAGAAGGGAAAAAGTGAAAGAAAGAGGAAAAGGATAGGATGGATGGTAAAAAGAAGAAGGGAGTTTTGGATTATAATGTGAAGGAAATATAAAAATGTTCAACATTTTGTAATAAATCTATAGTTGAAGGGTGTAAATGGTAACATTTTTTAAGTAAGCATCGATTTCATCGCCCTCGGTCGTATTGTTTATTGATATCTGATCAGCGCCAATTTGCCCCAAATTCAAAACCATTCTTCCCCAAATTCTCTCCATCGAGCAAAGAGGTACATGATTATCGATTCAGTTTTTGTGTGATTGAATGTAGTTACGCGTTAATTGCTTGTATAATTGTTTATTGTATGAACTTTTTTACTCGGATTGTGTAATTGATTTGGATTACTGTAGATGATTGCTTGATTAGTCACTGATTTATGGGCATAAATTTGATCGTCTTTTTTTTAGCGAATCCTTTTTTGCGAAGAAATCTGTTCTCTATTTTGCTTGAATTGGGAAGTGGTTTAGTTTTGGGGTTTTGTGCAGATTAATGATTTAGGGTTTGATCGTGGTGTTGGAGAACTTGTTATCCTCTTGTTAGTCTGATCTAAAACTTGTGATTTAAAAAGGGGTGTGAATTTTATCAGACGCTAGTTTCAGTACATGTAGATGTATTTGTTAATTGTTTTTTCTTCAGTATTGTGACTGAATCTGTGATACCCCTAGGATTTATATCTTGTGTTGGATTAGGATTTCGAAACTATGGTATTTGTGTAGTCTTCTCTTATTAGCTAATTGACTGGCACTGGTGAGTGGTGACATAAATATCAATCAGGTTTCAATGTGAGAGTTGTTTGTTTACTTGTTTAAGGTGATGGAGTGAGGGTCGAGGGTTTAATCATGGTTCTAAAACAGATTATATGCTATTTTTATTTGATATTCTACAAATCAAGTTTTAGGAGATCATAAAACTTACATGTTTTACAAATGATGATAATCATATCACTATCTCAAGGAATGAAAAGAAAATAAATGAACAGAAACATTGAGTGGCTCACCGTCCATTGCATATTTGAAGAAAAGAAAAACGCAAGCTTCTATCCACCATTGATTCGTGCTACTTCTGAAATGTAATACCAATGCTAACCAAAATCCGTATGCATACTGTTCTTTAATTTCTTTAATTTCTGAAGAAAATACACAAACCCTTTTGTGTTCTCACCATCTGTTAATGGAGCCATTATTCAAACACACCCTGTTTTCATTCACTACTCCTTATTTTAACCTTATGTAAGCCTTGTGACATTACTCTTGGCAGATATATCTTTTATGGCACCAGGGTATATATTGGTTTGACGCTCATGGTTTAACATGAGATGAAAAGAGTAAGGAGTGTTAGGATGATAATTGGTTCCTTGCGACGACCATGAGAAATGTAGTGAATATGATATGCATGGACTAGGGACCAGAGTCCAGAGAGGTAGGGGTGAAAATGAAACAAATATTTTTACTGTCCGATTGTCAGCTGGCTGGGTGGTGCTGTGGTCAGTATGAGTTATGATGTTGCTTTCTTGCGTCAAAGATCGTGTTTCCTTTTTTTATATAGTTGATTGGATGTTAGAACGAAGGTATGTTAATCACTCTATCAGTGAGTTCCCACCCCACTTAGTAAGCATTTCCGTTTCGTACATCATGTTCACTCTTTATTGCTTTGAGGGACCACTTCTTTAGGGACTTCCATTTGAATTTTTGTCAATAATGATGGTTGTTGGTAACTTTAAGTATAAAATTTGATGTTCATGGTAGGAATAAATTTAAGGTAGGAGGTCTAGCATCAATGTCTGATGCAACACAATCCACTTATAGTAGATTATATATCATTTCTTTGTAGTTCTTAGAATAATAAAAAGTCTTTTATTAATTATATGTTTGCACCTATATAGAGAGATTTTGGTTAAAGCTTTTCCAGAATGCATGACAAGCATCGTGTTCTTTTTGCTTGTAATCTAGTTTATGTAGAAGCTGAGTGTTTAATGATGTACCAAGCTAGGTCCTGGTACCATATGCAGCCAATACAAAGTTGTACTCCTGATAGGTTTGATTTGTTAGGTTCACATCATACAAACATGCTCATGATATCAACCTATCCAATTTGTTGGACTACTAAGTTCTGCTGTTATTCTGGTTGTGGTTCTGAAATTAAGTTATCATTTTTGCTTTGACGTCCATTGTCTAACTAAAAGTATACAAAGATTTTTATGTGCTGCCTTCTATATACTAGCATTTTTGTTGGTATGTGTTGCAACTTCTTTTATGTTGTTGCTGCATCTTTTATATTATGTAATTTCGCTGAAATCCTGAAACAAAGGCTTTTTATGCTTTACTGTTTGTATGATTTAATTTTGAAGCAATTATTGGTTATGAATTCTGCTAGTTAGGTTCATGGTGTTGTCTTGCAGATGGTTAATTGATAACTGATGCTTCTCCAATTAAAGTATAGATTATTGTCAGTTACATTACCCCTTTATAATTTCTCAAAAACTCACACACATGTCATAATTCATCAGCTTGTTGCTTAGTTTTCATCGTGAAGAATGTCAGGATCAGATATAAGCAAACGGCAGGTATTGCATATGAATTTTCTCCCTCCCTTGTCCATTCTCTTTTTCTGATATCATTTCAACTTAGTCTTGTGTTGCATCTTCATTTCATCAGTGTTCCCGGACTTGTTATTTGGTGCACTTTTTGAAGGTTATCTAATTGATTGAGTTACTTTTGAACCATTGCACCTGACTTTATATGGCAAACAAACCATTGTTCTTGGGAAAATTCAAAAAAAGCCTACATTTGGCAAGAATGGCTTGCTTACAAAAATGGTTCAAACGTTGATCACTCTTATAATTACATTACCCTTTCCCTCTTTAAACGTGATTAGAATGCTATTGCATTTATGGCAGGGTGGCTTTTCTTTAGACCATGAGGCTTGTAAGACCCTGGAAGGCTTGTACTCTATATTCGTAAGATCTAACTATATGAAAATTCTAAAACTTGAATTTGGCCCATGAAAATATGAAATTTCTCTAATGCTATTGAATTACGCTGACATTTAAACTCTTAGAAAATTGTTGTACCGATAAAAGTATAGTAGAAAATTATAAAGTCATGAAATAATTTCACTTTTCAAGGAACAAAAAGCTACTGAACTACAGATTTTTTAATTTACTAATCCCTTGTGTAGGGCTTTTTGCATAGAGAGCACCTTGTGTCAGATTGAAAATTTCAAGTTTTATCTATGCCATTTAGGCAACAACTTAGGTTTGGATAACCACTGTTGCCGTATAAGAGGAATAATTCATGGCAGAGTATTTTAACATGTTTTCTCTCACTAATGTTGTCTGAAAGGAAGTTACCTCCTAAAGTCTTGTGATTTATGATAACTAGGTAAGACCTCTTATTATGACAATAGCAGCAATTATGGAGGATTTTTGACCATATGGGGTTTGATAATGGGATGATAATTTGCATTTTGTTGAAAATGTCTTTGGTCATATTTGTATTTTGTAGTCTCATTTCATTTGACCTTTTCATGTTTATGTCATATGGGGTAAACTGCTGTGATGTTTACATTAGTGGTTTGATTCTAATCAATGGTCATTCATTATGCCTTTACAGATGAAGAAGTCTTACATATGGCTTCAAACTTCTGATGGCTCCATTGAACAAGTGGAACAAGACATGATTTTATTTTCTTCTTTCATACATCATATGATGCATGCAGGCATGGGATCTTCAAAAACCCGGCCAATCGCTCTTCCATCATCAGTGACTCCCATCATACTTGGTGTGATCCTTGGTTATTTCCGATTTCATCGGCTTCCTGGACGTTCGGACTTGGTATTCATGCTCTTCAACTGATATTTCCATTAATTTGATGAAATGCATGTTTCAAGCTACTTCTTCTAGTGTGTCTGATTAATGTAAAAGAACATCTTAAATACACAAACATACGTTGGTTGCATAAGTAGTTCCTCCTGGAAGCTTAAATTCCAAAAGAGTTATTATTTCTTTTTGAAAATTTTGGGATTTTCCTTGAGATATTAACCATAAAATTTTAGGTGTTTGGTGGTTTTGAAATTTTTGGAAACTTGATGCTTAAACCTATACCCATACATGATACGTATTAGTCTTAAGCTTAACTATTAGCAAGTGAAGTTTTGGGCTTTAGATCGTTGAGCACAAGCAGAGATCTGCTGGGCAGTAGGTCTTGGGTTCAAATCAAACATGTTTTGTTTATCCTAGTATGTTTTTTCAACACTTTCTCTGTTCATATTTCGTACCTTCTTTTGTCTCTGTACATGCCTACAGCACATTTATAGGAGTGTCGAGCCTGATATATGATGTAAAGCTTGTGAAAATTTCTTCTAGTAATGAAAACAGAACTTTGCTTCTTGCTTTCCTTTTGTAGGAGCGGAAGTTCTTCGACGAGAAGTTCTTTCGCATGGAGACAAGAAGGCTCTATGAATTGACTGCTTCTGCTTATACTCTGCAAATGGCACCATTGGTTGAACTTTGTTGTGATGCACTTGCAAGACAGATTGAAGGGAAATCTATTGAAGAGATTCGTCAAGCCTTAGGACTACCTGATGATACTACGGAGGTGTTCTGTTTATGCAAGCCTTTTATTGGGCATGTTATTGATACCACCTTTGGGTAATTACTTCATTGAAATTTATTAATGGTACGGATTTAATTGATGCAGGAAGAGCGTTGGAAGACTATCAAAATAGCTCCTAATGATCCACAAGTCCGACTCTTGAATAAACTACATGCAAAAAAAATGAAAGAAAAAGAGAAGGTAATTTGTTTAGTCACATACAATTTTCTTGGGAATTTGGCTTTATTTTACTTGTTTTTCTCATTTTCCTCGAGGTGTTGGGGTAGGGGGTTAGGACGGAGGCTGGTTAAGACTCTAGCTCGAGTCTGTTGCAAGCTAGTGTTACGCCCCAACCGAACTTTCTCACGACGTTCTAAACCCAACTCACGTCCCAATTCCTTATCGGGTGCCATTACTTTCTTATTGATACTACTAAGTCTTGAATATGAAATTTGAAATTTAACTTTATTTATAAAATTACAACTTAGCTTATAATTACATCAGAGTTCAAATACTAGTGGAAACGTAACTCAATAGCTTATAATACAACAAAATTTTGCTATTGATTAGAACAACACTACTTTATGCAACTCTTCTTTACTCCTTCCTTGAGACATACATGAGATACATAAGCTAAAAGCTTAGTGAGTAGTTATGGTTTCATGAACAAACAATTTTCATGATACTTATATTCTCTTTTTATCATGCATAAATATTCTATAGATATATGTTGAGACATGTAAGTATGCCATACTTGCCTTGAGGTTTGCTAACCCTGGGGTCCATAAAGGCTGCCCCAGAAGGTTTGTTTGCAAGAAGTTCTTTTTTGTAATATCCAGTGCGTTGGATATTTATGGTCATACATAACATGCATAAACTTTCATGCCTTGTGTGTAAAACACGTACTTACATCATAACATGTCATCATGCATATCTTGAATATATAAATGTATCAACATTTTCATGTAAAGCAAACATGCCAAAACATCTTATAGTCCATAAGATACTGTTATATAGCATGTATGTATCATAAATCTCATAAGGTACTCACCTTGATTATGCCTAGCTTTTTCTTTGATTCTTTACTTCAAGCTTGATAATGTATAGAGAGAGATTTCTTATTTTTAGTATGGAACTAATGGTAACACTTCAACCACTATTGATAGGTGATTACAATGCATTAACTACTTCTTCTTCTTGCTTTCATGGTTGTATTTTTATGAGAGTTTAACACCTCATGCTTAAGATAAAGGAATCTTGATACATCATGCTTCTAGCTTTTTTTGTCATGCTTCTAGCTCTTGCTTGTCATCATGAATTTTGGCAACACATGCTTCTAGCCTTGACAACTCATAACTAGCTTTCTTTGTCATGCTTAGTAGACTTGCTTTGTCATGCTTAGTAGACTTGCTTAGTCATTAAATAGCTTGGCAACACATGCTTCTAGCCCTTACAACTCATCACTTTAGGTTTGATTTCTCATGCTTTGCCTTGTATGCTACTTGTAGACTACTTGTCTTGAAAATATGATAATTTAATAGATGCTACAACTGCTGGAACTTTTTAGAGTACTTAAGTTGCTCGTAATATTTGTATTGAAGGCTTAGAACATTGTAATTTAAAAAATATAAAACTAGGGAAGTTACAGCTAGCACTTAAGGTTATTGCTAAGTTACTCCATATTCTGGGATGTCGAAAAAAACCCTGAAACCGAATAACCCAGCCGAACCGAATGAGGTTTAAACGTTTTAGGTTAGTCGGTTTTCGGGTTAAACAGTTCGGTTAACCGAATAAAGGTACCTTACTAGTTCAGTTGATTTTTTACTAATTTGGTTAAACTTAATAACCGACATTATACTATTATTTTATATTTATATTTCTATACAAATAAATTGAATAACACATTATACTATTATCATTTTACATATTTTATTGTTAGATAATGTTTTCTATTCGGTAAGGTTTGCTTGATTATGTGTTCTTTTTACTTGATGTGTGATATTGCTTGAAGAGATTATGTTTTGGCTGGATAATATACTCTGTTTGATATTTCTAAATGTGTGATGCAATTATATATTGGAAAAAACGAGGATTGCATTCAGAAAACTTGTTGGAGACAAGCGTCCAACAAAAAAAATATGATTTCTTATTCGGTTTAACCGGTTACCAAACCGAAGAACCCAAAAACTGGATAACCCGAAACCAATTAAGGTGAATCTTACTTGGTTTGGTTTTTGAGTAGCTTAGAACAATCTGGAAAACTGAATAATCCAAAAACCGATTTAAGCGACTGAATAACACCCTTTTGCATGTCTACTTTGAGACAGATGGTAGCTGGGCCTTGGTTTCCGAATGTAAAGGATGAAGCACCACATGCTGATCATCGATCTATCGATGAGCTTTTGTCATTTATCAATGGAGAAAATGGAGGTATTTTCATAGCTCTACGACTTCATGAGTGTGCGTGCTTGTTTCTCTTGTCAACCTTTTGTTATTTTTTAAATTTAATGTTATGTCTATTTATCTGTTTCATGTTTGTTCTTCAATACAGAGATATTAGTGCATGTGGGTTTCTTGTTAATTTGTTGTTATGTTATGCTCTTGAGTTACATTCTTGTGAAACCAGTTAGCAGGCATAATTATTTTCCTTTCAGTTTCTCTTTTCTCTTGACCTGAATCTATAATCAAAAGAGTTTATTAAATTCACTCTTGCAGAATCAAAGGAGGCACAACCATCAAAAAATAAAAAGAAGCACCACAAAGGAAAAAATAAACAAAAAAAATCCCCTTCTGTTTGCACTATTTCAGATGGCTGTGGCCATTCAAATAATGCCGGTAAGATTTCTAATTAAAGCTAAGAGCTGAACTTGTTCTTTTTCATGGTAAGTGTGAATATTTAATTCTGACAAAAAAGTGTATGAATTTTCCAATGGAAGTGACATCATTCATATGTTTCAGGAATCTGCATGCCATGATATGGATAAAGGCTATTGTCAACCTAGTATAAATGAGGGGTTGAAGTTTGTAGGCACATAAAATTATAGATCTGCATTTGAAGGTAAGCTTGGTGATGTGACAGGTCTATCCAATAAGGTTGTTGTTTATAATCATGTGTTGGTAAGGCAACTTGAATGCACTTACTCGGTAACTTTCAGCATGATAGCTGCTATATTTCTTAAATCATTTGCAACCAAAGATTTCCCCAGACTAACATATCAACTTGGTGCAAACGTTACTATGAATGCTTATCTTCTCTGCTGTGTTAGGGTGTGAACTTATGTTTCATCATTTGAAACTATTGGAGTCATCTTTACTTAATGCTACTCCCTCTGTCTCAAAATAAGTGTCCATATTTCTATTTGTATTTGTCCTCAAAGAGATGTCTAGTTTCAAAAATAGACAACTAAATTCTCAAATCTACCCTTAATTAAAGCACAGATATTTAAGAGTTGTGAAGAGAGATAAATTAATTAAGGGTATACTGGTCATTTGGTTGACTTGTAATAATTATGCATGCCTAATATGTGTGCCATTTCTATTGTGGACTTGTTTTGGGACGGAGGGCGTATATCACTGATTTGCTGTGGGTTTGGTGAAGGGCCTGTGTTCAAGGCAAATACAGTTTGGTTACCATCCTACTTTGTCATCATAGTATCATTTACCTGAGAGGGTGTGTGTGCTTTTGTGACATAGCAATAATGCCTTTGGAAAGATTAGCTGATCTAGGCAACATTACTCTTCATGGAGGCTCAGGCATTTTGTGGGCCTGTTAATGAAATATAAGACTTGATTTGCGACATAATTCTCAACACAAATCATGTGTGTAACTTAGAAATAATATGAGCTCCCATTAGCATTGGCTGTACCCTCCAACACCTGAGGGTTTGTCTGACTTAGTAATTTTAACTAAGTTGAGATGCAGCCTATTTGCCTATAAGTTTCCAGGAGCAACTCAATTCCAAAGTTTTGTATTACCAGAATTACAGCTTAGGGCCTAATAGAAACATAAGAGTAAACTATGTTTTTCGTCTCTTTGGTTTGTTAAAAATTGCAACTTAAAACACAGGTACAGAAAACGTAGTTTACTCAAAACATAATTTCTTTAGGCTGTGAGTGTCTATAGTTGAAATGAATTGACACAAAGCAAACTTAAATCAGTGAGCTCGTGGAGCTCAACATGGATTTGTTTCATGTGGGATGAGTTTGGCTTTTGGTTGCCTTGAGTTGAATCGATCTTATCGTTCTTCTAGTGATAAGGTGATGATGTACGGGAGGGAAGAGATACATTGCAGATCTTTTTGGTATCTTCTAAGGATAGATGCTTAACTAAATTTAAAATTATGTTGCATGAATGCGGGATGAATTTGTGCATCTTAAAATGGATATTTGACAGATACTTTCTGATATTTGAAACTCTTTTAAGCAAAGAGTTTGAGGTTAGAAAGTTCTATATCTTTATTTTATAAACCCATAACTTTCATTTAAACTAGAGTTGTAGTGTTCAACTCCAAAGATTTTTATTTTTTCATCTATCTGTGGACCAAGGTGCGTGAGGGTTCCTAGTGGTGGAAGTGTCTCAGAATTTCTCCTGAAATACTCTGGAATGTCAAGTAGAGGCCACTTGGTGGTTGTTCTGGTAGACAGGATTCAAGATGAAATAGGGAGGTTGCAACGGCCTATGATGAAAATTGTGCCAATTATTGGTTGGGTTGTCATGGCCTAGTAAACCGGAACATGCCATTTACCTGTTCTTTCTTCAACTAAAAATAATGTGTATTTTTTTGTCAAGTTTTTTCGGAACAAAAATATCATAAGTTACCTTCACTCTGATACATTTTTAGTGCAAATCAAATACAAAAATTGAACCTATTGGATTGAGAATTTGGTGTTTAAATTTCCAAATGAGATTTCAACTATAATCTTTTTTAGGGTTGGTCCCATCCACGTGTTGCGTAATGTGGAGTATGGGGTTTATGATACCCTATGCCGTTACTGTGGGTGGTGAATCACTAGATTATTAGATATGTGGTATGTTGAACTATCATAATGCATGTATACATGATTAAGTTTCCGCTTTGATATACTACAAAATGAAGAACTCTCACGTTTGATATGGGTGAGCTTTAATTGATGGATATACCCTAGAGTATTCTTTCTCTTTACCCAATGAGAGAGAATAATTTTTTAAATTGTCAACACAATTGAAAACCTGAATACCATATTTGTCAAATTGGACGATTTCCGATTTGGGTCACACTTGATTTGATGCATGAAGCAAACAACTCAACCGAAACAACAAATCGAATCTGTTCGATTTGCTCATTTATCTGTGAATTTCCCTTGTATGGGCAAATTTAATCGTACTATGCAATTCTATAATTTATATCCTAGATGTCTTGCTCCATATGTGTTGATCCTTTGGATTTTTCTGTACGTTTATTGATAAAAAATTTACTAGTAGCTGCATGAATAGAATGAGTTTTTGGTTGGTTGTTGATGAACTTGCTAAGAATGACTAGTAGGACAACACAATGTTCCCATGTTTGACATGTGTTTATTCTAAAGCATCATTCAAATTCTAACCTTTTGTGTTTTGCATATCGATTCGGGATTTTATTCCCACATTGAGAATTATGCTTAATACATTCCATCGAATTTTCTGGAACTTACACATGCCTCTCATTTTCTAATCACTCCACCTTCGTGTATGTGTTCCTCCCATCTACATGTTCCCAACAACACCAAAAAACATGGACGATGATATCTGAACCGAAATTTTTTGTGAAATTCTTGCCTAGGCATGAAGCCTGTTGAGATGCAACTTACGGGTCTTGCTTTGGGAGTCCTACAAAGCAGCATGCTTCTCAACGTCTGAGGCACACAAGGTGCGGCGTTTATTGATTTTTGCAATTTTTAATGAAGTTAATAATTATTTTGTCTCGTGCCCTAAAATTTAAATGAAATTGGATCCCGCCAAACATCTATTTAACTAATTATTTACAAATTATATATATATTGAGAAAAAAAATATTAAAGAGTCAAACTTCGTTCTACATTTAGATATGCCTATTTGTCTTTTAAACTTAAGCTCTGCTTTGTGTCTCTTCACCTTCCAAATGTTCTTTTTTGGGGAGATTTTCTGTGGGCTCAAGGGCGTAATTGGATGCCAAATGATCATTACGTTGATGATTCTTTAGTTAATGTTAGTGGAATGTCTTTGATTTTTGTTGTTAAGTGTTAATCATGCTTGTGATTAACTCTTGATGTTTTTTGTGTTGTCAAATAGTTGAGTGATGCTTCTTTATTTGAACACGATTGATTCTGTATATTTAATTGTATTAATGCTCACATTAACCGAGGTTAATGATGTTTTAATAAACTTACTATTATAGGCATATACCCTTCTTTACCTTTTAGGGAATGTTTATGTGTGTGTACGTACGTGGGTATAAATATATATATATATATATATATATATATAGGGATGGATTTCGGTGAGAAGGGTAGTTATTGGTAGAAGCATAAGAAGAGATCTTCACTCTTGGATCAATCCTAATTGAATGTCAACACTAATGAGGTGCACAGAGATGCACCAGATCAATTACCTACTAAAACACAATTCATGGGTGGCCATGAGATTAAAAATGATTAAGGGTTTAGGTCTATTCTTACGTTTCTCTCTATAATTTCCTTTCTCACACGATCCTTCGCCTATACATACACATATATATATATATATATATATATAGAGAGAGAGAGAGAGAGAGAGAGAGAGGGGGGGGGGAGGTTCAGGGCAAAACCCCGCAAAAAAATGAAAAATTGAGGAACACCCTCGTAACCATTCATCTGGACTATATGCATGTGCATACAAGTAATTGGAGCTGTTTCTTTGTTTCTATGCATGTGTGCATGCTTACAAATAACTTGTATGCCCATGTGCACACCGGACAGATGAATGGTTACCAGGGTGTTCATTCATTTCTCATATTTTTGCTGTTTTCCCCTAAACCTGACCCTATATATATATTTACTTTTTGCAAGTCATGCAACTTGCTTTGTGCCCCCTTGCTAGGGCCTAGGTAGACCTGTATGTCTTGGTGCGTCTCATGCCTTGTGTAACATTGCCAACCACCTAGAGAAACTGAAGACTGGAAAGATCACATAATGAAGGTTCAATATTTTACGTATTTATGTGAGCACATGGAATCCTATATTCTTCAATTTGTCTGAAAATGGTAAATTTTTAATTTTAACTAATGACATATACCCGATACCACTTGGTTCTTGGCTGCAATATGTGCCTATGTGGACCCTGGACAACATACCAGATACTTATGCTAATTGTTAATAACCTTCAACTTGGGACATGCATAAGATTTGGAATTTTCGACATTATAACTAGCATGTCAGAAACTCGGGATA